TTCTACACTCGTTTTGACACGATGTTGAAATTCATTGAATCCAAAGGAACACACCAACCAGAGAAAAAAAAGGAAAGAGAATGCAAGGAGAAATATATATGAAGACATGTAGAGTCCACATATCTGTAACAAAATGAAAAAAAAACTGTTAATTCAACGTTCATTTACCATTTGTAAAGGAATTTTACTATGTCAGGCATAAAATAATATGAATGAATCACACGTACTTGATGAATGATGATTAACTGTATGCACAAATTCTCCTTATTTTCTTTCCTTTTTTTTCAGCATTTTTCAATTCATACATGTATACGCGATAGTGATTTGTCGTTTTCTTTCTTCTCCATATCTGCTCTGCATTTATGTTTATCTCTCTCTTCGACTGATTTGGTGTTTCTGTCAAAATAAATGTCATAGAATGAAGGTGACGATAGATTTTTCGGTAGTATACGTATATACATTTATGTGTTCGTACCGTGTCCTCTATTGGGTCTTATTCTTTAATTAATAGCACTTGTATATATCTACACAGGTATATTCTATTTTGACGCATCATCGCTTTTCTTTATAAATACGATACTGTCGTATATAACGATTTTTATTATAATTTTATGATATAATGATGTTGTTAATGACAGGTATGTTTTTTAAAATGCATCTTTTTTTTTTGTATAGTTTATGTAATTATATAATAGATTTTTAAGTGAGAAGGTTTCCAATCGTCATTACTGTTGGTTAATTGATGTTGCATAGTTTTATCTATCATTCGAATCATTACATCCTTTAATTCTAATACTAAATAAGTTTCTTTTGATTATAAGTATAATGCATGTGTGTCAACATGCGTTTTCTTGAATACTCGATCATACAAGTGTGAACATTTATATAATAAAGATTTCTTGTTTGAGATGACATGTCTTCTTCATCATCTTGATTGTCATCTTGTATTATCTTGATCGGATAGCAACTGAGAAGGATGAGGACATACTGATTGTATATATACTAGTATCTAACGAGGAGAATGAAGTAATTCATTTTTTTAGCGTTTATCAATCATCATCTTCATCGTCCAAAGATATATATATATATATGTATGTATAAAATATCTATATAAAGTGAAAGGAGAAAAATGTAATAAATGATATTACTTCATATCTTTAAAACGAAAGAAAGACACGAATCAATCAGTAAGTTAATAGAAATGACAACGGAACAAGCAATTTTACTTGCATGTTTTCTTTTTGTATAAATAAAGAGAAGAAATAATATTTGCATCTATGACAACAGGTCTTTGTCGATTGCTATGACTTCATGTGCTAAAAATAGGTTTATTTATTCATGACAAATAATCACACTAAGTGAAAAAGTATAGTATATGACGCGTGTGATCTATTCATTGTTGTTTATGAATGTTAGTTCTAGTAAAAGCACAATAAATAAATATTAGTTCATTTTCATGATTTTCTTTAGTGTGCACAGATATATTTATAAGACGCAATTTTCTTTTTTTTAATAATATGTTGTAAAGATGTCATATGACATCTTAGAAAAAAGAAGTATCACTTTCTTTTTTTACTTAATTATTTAAGATAAAACATAAAATAGAATATGATATTCTTTTTCTAAAACTATGTTAGATTATGCTTGATCACCTTTAATAAGTGCGCATATCTTAAATTTTATATAACATGTTGTCATTTGCTAAAAAAACATACTGAAAAAGAAAAAAAAAAGAAAATAACATTTCTTATTTTGTTGTTGAATATATCTCTTTTCTATAATGGTAATTCGATTCATTTTGGTTAGAAAGAAACACAAAGCGGAACATTTTCTCATCAGAATAGTATTGAAAATAACTTCGTTAAAAGCGAGTAAAAAAAGCAAATGAAATATCCTGTGCTATTGCTTTTAGGTAGATGTCCCTTTAAGACCACTCAAAGCTAGAGGGTTTAACAGAGCAAATAAATATTAGCAAATGAAATATCCTTGACAATCTTGTTGGATAATAATTTATGTAAAACTAACAACGTGAAGAGCATGTCGTTCTTTAATATTCATCAAATTAGATGAAAAGAAAACATGAAAATTCATTAGACATTTTTACCATCATATGAGATGAGATTAATTTTGACAGATTTCCTTTCATTTTTACCATCTAAACCAATCAATTGATCATATAATATTGGAACCAATTGATGAATACATCCTTGAAAAGCACTTAATATAAATGATAATTTTCCTGTTTTTGATTTAATACAGTAAGTAAAAAAAGAAGAAAAGAAAAAAGCAAAAATAGCAGGATGCTCGTAAGAAAACATTGAGACATTATTATTCTTTTTCTTTCTTAGTAAAAAAAAAGTGACATAGGGCAAGCAATTCAATCTATATTGCCATTCTTTCTTTTACCCGATTTTGTTCTTTAATTAAAAACTACTTGTATAAGTATTCGAAGATCTTCGCTTATTTGACATCAACAACTGAAGTCGTCCTAAGTTAATTTACTTTGCTTCCGCTTGTTTTTTTTTCTTGAATATGCATTATAGTATTGATTCAATTAGACTCTACATTCGATGTTGACAACTATTGAGACTACTCAGACAAGCAAACAGAGCGAGAGAAAAAAAATGGATAGAGTATAAAGTATCTCAGACGAGTACAGATAAAACTTTGCTGAAAAACTCACGAATTGATTATATGATAGTAAAGATATAATACGTTGATGGGAAAAAAACTAATTATACTAAACAACCTACAGAATTATATATATATATATATACCAATGACGAAATAAGAGAAAAAAGTGTTAAGTTCAACATATTAATAAAAAAAAGTATTAAGAACATATACGTAGGTAAATATTGATGGTGCCAAGAAAATGGAAACAATGGTACGATATTCATAAGTGTTGTGTTGACGTTCTATATGAAAATATTTTTAAGAAAACACTTATCTTTGCCTTGAAGAGGAACACATCTGTTTAATATTATAGTTATGGATAAATTGTTATGATATTACGATATGCTTGTAAGTGCGTTTATATAAACAGAGTGATTGACATCATCAATAGGTGAACGAAAAAAAAACCATATGTCTGAATGTAAGAATCACAAGTTCAGTTTTTTTATTTGAGTTTATATGAAATAAGATCATTTTGCTCTGTAATGTTTTCTATTCATTTATCAATATTTCCTGACTTGAGTGTTTTGATCAGAAATTTTGATTAAAAAGGATGAAAATACATTTAATCTTATTAAAAATGACCTAGTAATCGTCATATTCATTATTTGAAGATGTCTTTCTTGCTATAATGCAAAATACGTATCAATCATTTGATTGATGTATACAACGATGTCATTTATACGATATCCCATTTGTTCTTATTGGGCTTTAGAAATCTAAGAAAATGTTTTTTTTTTTTTGGTATCTGTATGAAAGATGAGAGTACAAAAAATAGATATTATCAAAATTTTGTTTAGAAACATCAATAATGAAAGTGTCAGATGTCATTTTTTCTTTGTTCTGACGTTTATTTTTCCAATACGGAAAAATAGTATTTCATTTTTTCTTCTCATTTATTAGATTTTCTTTGTTTCCCTTTTCTTTTATCTATCCGAAAGTGCATATGCATGCATGTTCAAGTCGATATATATATAGAGAGAAGATGCTGTCTTTTTTAACATGGAATTATTTCCTTTTGTTACTATTTTAAGTTTTTTTTTACTTGGTCGTAGTTGTAAAAATATCCTTTTTCTCAGAAACTAACATTAATAGTTCATAATACGCAGTTTGTTGACTTCAGTACAGTGTATTAGGTAACACATAGCTTTTTAGATGTGTGTATTAGGTAATATGAAGTCGAATAATGTACGATAGAGACATTTTTATATGCAAACAAAGATTTGACAGACAGACACTTATTTCTAGATTTATTTTTTTTTTTGTTTGATTATTAAATTAATGAAAGATAAGATATATTATTATTGTCATTCAAATAATAAATTGACATTAATGCAATAGAATTATGTGTAGGATATAGAAGAGAGAAAGAAATTTTGTCGCTCAATAAGTTATCGATAATATTGAATCGAAAAATATTTCTTCAGAATCTCATAAGAAAAATAAAAGAATGAATTATATTATTTAAGTAAATATAATTTGATTGCTTTTGATAACAAATAAACATAAAATTGATATTCTCCTTCTTCTTTTTCTTTTCTACTTTTCAGATAATCGACCGTCCATCTGGTTGTGATATACTCATATAATATATCGATGTTGTCGTCAACAAGTCAAAGTTTATTGTCGAACAATTCATTCGATGATGAATTATATTGTCCCGCTGTATTTGAAAATCTCTGTTGGCCACAAACTCGTGCCAACCATTCAATTACTATTTCATGTTCGCAATTGGCAGTGCAAGGAGTTGATTCTAGCAGTCTGTATTTTCTAGATTTTTTTTCAATAAAAAACAAAAATCTTTCTTTAATTTATGCAGAATTCGTCACTCGTGATTGCCTTCCAACGGGAAATTGGTCAAATGTCTCATATGAATCTTGTGTTTATCTGGATGTATGGGAGTTAATGAAGACATTTTATATATCAAGGACAGCTGAACAGAGAAAAGTTCGTTTTTCTAAAATTTTTCAACTTTCAATTATAAATGCGCCTGTGTTTTTTTGTTACTTAGGCTTATACACATATCCTTCAAGCTGTGCGTATTATTGAGCTAGTTGGATTATCAGTATCATTTATCAGTGTACTTGTTTCTCTTGTAATATTTGCTACTTTAAGGTACATGAATCTATCCAATTAAAATGTTTGTATTAATTTTTTTTTCTTTTTGAATAGATCTCTTTACTGTAGTCGTACAAAAATCCATATTAATCTTTTACTAGCAATATTTATTCAAATAATCGCGCGAACGGTCAATTATGGGTATTTATTTGAAAAAAATTTTTTTTTGTTGAATATAGCATTTGTCGAATTCTTTTAGAATTCAAATGGGACAATCAAAGAGTCCCCAACAAATAGAACCGATAGAATGTGGTATTGATGGAAGTATTCGTCATCATGGAATTTCATCTATATTTAAAAATATGTGTCCATTAATTGTCATATTTTTACAATTTAGTATAACCTCTATGTTTATGTGGATGTTATGCGAAGGCATTCATCTTAATAGTATATTAACTGTTAGTGTATTCAGACATCATTTTAAAACATATTATTTTTATATACTCGGATGGAGTAAAAATAGACTTTTTCTCTAATTAATTTTTTTTAATTGGATTTCTTTTTTTTACATAATAGTTGTTCCATTTTGTATAACATTCAGTTGGAGTGTTGTTATGTTTGTTAAAGAACGTGGTCGAAAGTAAGTTTCTATTTTAAAAAAAGCAACAAAATGATCTCTTCAATTCATAAATTTATTATTCAGATGCTGGGCAAACTATAATTATCTTAAATATTATTGGATTATTGATGGACCTCGATATGCAGTTATGATTGTAAGTTGGTTTTTATTTTATTAAATCTATAGAAAATTGTTTTTCTAGATAAATTTTATATTTTTATTAAATATAATACGGGTTCTCCTAGTTAAAATCAAAGAAGGTTCAGAAAACCAAATACGTGACGAGTAAGTTAAAACCTATAACTTTATCAAATAAAAAAAGACAAAACCAATATAGTATTTAACTCAAAGTTGTTGATTTATACAGAACTAATCACTTAGACTCGCATAGTGCATTATTCCATGTAAAATCTTGTATAACTCGGTAGGATAAGCTTAAAACTATCAATTAAATTTGCTTCTTTTTTTAAAAATTAATATTATCAAAAATAATTTAATTATTCTACATAATTAATGCTTCATATTAAAACGTTTAGGAAACATCGTCGTGGTTCTATGAATACAAAATTTGTCAAGTAATCATAATAGATTTGTTTCTTAATTTATTTCATTTTGCTATATTTATAGAAAAGCAGTAAAAGCTGCTATTTTTCTATTACCTTTATTGGGTATTACACATATGCTTGAGACATTTATTTCACCAGGTAAAAGTTATTGAATAAAACAACATTATTTTTATTATTTTTTTTTCTTGTTTAAGATGATAAATCAATTCTCTTATTTGCTTTGTATTGCTCGGTGACTTATTTTTTGGTGACATTTCAAGGGTTTTTCTGTTCATTACTTTATTGCTTCTTAAATACAGAGGTAAAATTTTCTTCTTTTCTCTCTAATTCGAATAAGTAGAAGTATTCTCCTCCCCCCCCCCCCCCCCCCCCCCCCCGTTTATTTGCATGTGTATGGGTAAAACATTTTTCCAAGTTAGAAAAATCAATGTACCATAAGGATGTGGCCATGAATAAAATATACCCAAGTGTAGAAGGAAACGAGCAAAGGACAAACTAGACACTCAGGCAAATACGCACTGAGAAGACGCAATTGAAAACTTGGCCAACAAAAAAAAAANNNAATAAATTTGAATTTTCTATTGATGGAATTATACGATAATATATTTGTTTATAATTATTATTATTATTGTTTAAATTAAAATTAAAATTAAAATCATTTTTTGCATGAACTTTTCCTATAAATGTTTCATTTAAATTAAATATAAAAAATTTATATAAATTTAAATCAAATTTTGGTGGTAAATTATTATATTGTTGATTTTCTAAAATATTTATTTCAATTAAACATTTATCTTCAGCTTGTTCTAATTGTAAACGAAAACCTATTAATAAATTTTCATCTAATTCATATGAATATAATTCTTTTTTAAATTTTGGTTTATGATCATTTATATCTTCAATATTTATTTTTAATTTTACTAATTTTATTGCTTCTTTTTCTATAAATAAATCACAATTTAAATAACAAAATTTTTCATATGGACAAAGTTTTTCACGATCGATTTTAAATGAACGAATTTTAAATGAATTTTCTTTATCTATATATAAATTTAAACATGGACGAACAAATCTTATTATATAACCATTTGAATTATTATTTTGTAAGAATTCAGATTTTATATATGATCTTAAATCAATAATCATTGTACCATTTTCTTCTTCTTCTTTTATTGAAATTTCAATTGAAATTTCTTCAAAACATTTTATTATATTTATTTTTTCTATTATTATTATTATTAATATCAATAATAAATATTTTTTCATTTTCATTTTCTATTATCTTAAAATAAAACAAACAAAACAATAAGATATTTGTTTATCAAGTATTTCACTTTATTTCATTGTTTTTTTTATTTTTTTTTTAATAATTAACATTAAAATTGATGTTCCCAATCTTAAAAGTCTTCTTCTTTCTGATATTATATAACGTCAGAATATGAAGCACTTTTTAATAGAGAGGAACACCTACTTTAATATTTCCACATAGTCACTATAGAATATCTGCTAAACGAATACCCAAAAACAAATTAATTCAAAATATATTTCAACTTACTTGATATGCTGTATTATTTTCTCTTTTGTTTTTTCTCTTGTACGAATTCTTTTATTGTACTTTATATAAATGAATAGATCAATATGCACTTAACACAAGAGAATATGTCTACATCAATAATATAAGTATCTTCATTTATTCAAATAACAATTCTCACTTTCTTTCTTGCTTTCTTTCGTTTTGTTTATATACATACATAATATATATATATATAAACTAATATCATCATTAAATCGTCACTTGTTTCTCAATCAACATAAAAGTAGACTCTTGAGAGAAAAAAAGAGACACATCTTTATTTATTTTCAATCTGCTTCCGGCAAGAATGGAAAAAGAGGAAAAGAGACAGAGAGATAATAATTTTCTCTTTTTCCTGAATATGTCGTAAGAGAATGCAAAGGCGAAAATTCAATTTGAGGTTCGATCATTCTCATTCTGTTTTCAGACTAAACAATGATGATCACTTTGTAATTAGATTCTTTTTTTTTCTTTCTCTCTCTGTACTCAAATAAAAAATGAAGAAAGAAAAAGGGAGGGAAAATTGAGATAAAATCTACAAGTACTTGTGCGTGATCCTCTGTACTTGACTCTCTTATATATGTTTATATGTACACATCAACTCGGACGGAAATTATCATCATCATTTTTCAACAAGTGTCCAATGTCGTCTGAGTACATTCGATAGAATTATCTTCTTTAGTCTTTATTTTTATTTTTATCTTGGTCAAATTATAAGACATCAGTATGAGACATAAATAATTATAACTTACCCTTGAGGAGAGAACACACTACATTGAGAATGACCCTTCTTTTTTCTTTTTTTTTCAATTGAGCAATGACGATGCCATCAATGAAATATAAAATCTATAGCCGGAAATTCATTCACTCATGAATAAGACACGAGAAAAAGATTGAGAAGGAAAAGAAAAAGGTTATCAATCTATATATATATATATATTTATCGTTTGAGTATGTGTGCAAATGGTGACGATTAATCGTCTTTTTTTTATATGTCGAGAGAAGATTTCAATCGGCCTTATCTAAAGTTGAACATAATTTATCGATACAGAAATAATGGTGGTACTCAAAACAGATGTCGAGTTAAGGAAGAGTGTATGTTATGTTATCTCAATAAATGGATCATAACAATACAGTCGAGAAAAAACAAGTGGAAGCATATAAAACTATTATAATTGAGATTGACCTACTATATATTTTGTGTATATTTGTGAAAGAATAACAAGGAAAGAAAATGAACAAGAACATATGTGTTAAGGTAATTCGATTAGTAGCCGGCTGGACATTTTCAATTTTGAGAGAAGAAAAGATAATGGTCTACTGGGCAAGACAGTCAACTAACTTGACAACAGGAACTATGCAACTGTCCAATTCAGTTATATTTGTTTAACATAGTTTCTAATTTTGTCAAATTATGTTGCATACAACTCTAATTGATTATCGTTTCATCTGTATTTATTTTTGGTCATCCGGAACTTCTATGCAATATTAAAAATAGAGGAAAACCAAATCAAGAAATAAATCATTAGTGGACACAAATGGCTCCGCTAATATTTTAGATTATTGTAACATTGTGAAATTTGTACCGAAAACTATCACATATTATCAGACGGAAATATTTTATATTTGTAGTTTGCTTTTGGAAAACTCGATTAAATGCTTATATGTGCTTATTGCAGTACTAATCTTGAACGGATGCATCTCTCTGAAAACGAGCTCATGAATGATTACTCGTTTTGCGCATTAATTTTTGTTGTAAAAAATCGTTAAGACATTTTTAGCAACAAAAACAGGCTATGATAAATCAAGGATGACATTCTTTGTTTCATTTTTTTTTATTCTTCTTAAGCGTACTAATCCATCCTGATTAGTACTATTCAATGTTTCGATATGATTATCGTTGTCGATGGTTTTTCCTTATTTTATGTTCTATAAAAATGAGAAAAATAAAAAGAAATCGACTAAGCTTGCATAAATTACATGTTTGGTTTCTTTAGTTCTATTGTTGGCCTTCGATACTTCGAAAGTTGTTACGACACTTAAAAGCCATTATTTTGTTCGACGAGAAGGTTATCAAGACAAAAAACAAATCGAAGATGAACAACGAGAATTTATTTTTGTCAATTATATCAATGATATTACTTGATGTCATTGATCAAAATGTGTATGTTCTTAGTAGCACCGATAACCTTATTTATACTCTTGAAAATAATTATCTTCTTGTATTTGATGTTCATTTTAATTGAATTAAAGTCGGAGATGTCGACTGCAAATTTTCTAGTTTTTTTTTCCTCTCTGAAACACCACATTTCAATGGCTCAACATTGTCCTATACAGATTTCCAACAATACGAACTGAATTTTGTCAATTTTTTCGATGTCAATTTGGTTGGTACAATTTTTCGTATTGCTCTAGTAAATAAAACTATTTTTTAAAATACTTTTTTCTCCATCTGATAGAATATTTTCGTCAAATTATGGAATACATATTAATCTAAATCAAATGAGCATGGTTAGGTAGAAGAATGATGAAGCTAAAAAGAGGTGTATAAATTGAAAATTGTATCTTGACAATTAGTATTTTTAATGCCACATTGTTTCAAACTTTTCCAATATCGTTAATCAATCATTTAATGATTGTTGATATCATTCAAGTTGAATATCTATAGAAGTTTCGTGAAAATAGTTCGACATTAAGAATATCAGTCAGCATCTTTCGTATTTTGTTAATATATCAATAAAACACATCATATTGGTAAGTATTTTCTGCGATTGTGAGAAAGTTCTACGATTAAATGGTCAAATATTCTGTATTTCTTTTTTTTGTTCCCCTGTGTTATTGATTATTTGATAAGTCTTGGTTCAGTCTGGCAAGATTCTCCGAAGCATTGAAAAGAACAATTAAGATTTTTATTAACAAAAATCGATCATGAATAGAAAAGGAGAATTCATGCAAGTATATTGATGTAAATTTGTTTTCTTGTAGTTCCAAACTGTATCATATTCATAAATACAGATATAAATTGAAGTATTAAGTCATTATCACATCATCTGAATAGTTATAGATTGAGTAATTAAGCATGAAAATAAAGGATTATCGTTTTTTTTTTGTATAATTATTGTTGGACTTATTATTTTCTGTATGAAAATAATCATGATCTGTAGTACTGATCTAGTGAATTATTTCTCATTTGTATCATAGAGCATCTAAGTTTGATTTTAAAGTTCTTTCTCATAACAGAATAACATTCATCTTTTTCTACGTTTGCCATTGATCTTCAAAACTATTTTGGTTGATATTTTATGTAAAGAAATTAGAAGAGATATGCTACACTGATGACTAGATAAAATCCAATTTGATGAATCGAAAAGGTATAATCGAATAGATGGTATTTCTACTAATGTCAATTGATGTATTGATTCGATGATAAAAGAAATTTAAAATGTTAATGTTTAACTCCTGCAAAAATGTTTACTTTTTTTATTGCTTCAAAAAAAATTAAAGAAAATATGCACGCGAAAATTTCAATAATTATTAATGAAGAAAAAATTGTTTATATAAGGGCAAGAATAGATAAGAAAATGATAATTATTTTAATAAATTTAAACTGGCCAAAAGAATTTAAACCATTGGATTTTGGAACAACTGTGGTTGATGTTGTTGTTGATTGAGTTATTGATGGACATCCGTTTCTATTAGTATAAGGACCCCAACATGCTGCATAAGCCATTTTATGTGCAATTGTATGTTGTTCCATTGTTCCGATAAATAAATGACTCCATGGTCCATGAGCATATACAGGTACATCTTCACCGCCATGGCTTTCACTACTTAGTGGTAGAGCTGCTGGTGACAAATAATTAGTTGAATTGGTATCAAGCAAAGACAAGTAAGTTGCATTTCGAGGTGAAGGGAAATTCGGTCCATTTCCATATGCAATAATATTAACAGGAAGTCTATCAATATCACTGACATTAAGAGATTCTAATGATGAAAAACCTAAAATATTTGAACCACGTGAACCATATGCACCCATTGTAAATACATGTGAATGATCAGCAGTGACAACAAGTAATGTATCCTTAAGGAGACCTTTTTCTTTTAAGATTTCTTTAGCTTGTCCAATAGCATTATCAAATTCAACGAATTCATCAAGTGCATATCGTGCTTTTGTATCATGATGTCCATGATCAATTCTTCCGCCTTCAATTAAAAGAAAAAAACCATTTTGTTTCATATTTAAAAAATGTTCTATTGCAAATTTGGTCATCTGTGATAAATTTGGTTTATCAATTCTATTTGTTTTTCTATCAGTTTCATAATACATATGATCATATTCAAATAATCCCATTAATGGTGTTTGTGTACCTAAAATAATTCTATCCATTTCAGTTTTATTCCAAATAAAACGTCCATGCCAAAGTTCATCAATAAGTGATCGATTATCAGTACGAGAACCATTTAATTTTGAGTTTTCAATATCAGGCTTTGTATTTGGATAAAAGTGTCGACGACCACCGCCCAATAAAAGATCGATTGGTGGTGAGCGTTGTACAAGTTGATGAGCAATATCAAGACAACCTTGTTGACTTTGAAGAATACCAAATGTTTTTGTATTATAACTTTCCCAGTCACGTTCAGCAACATGAGCATAAGCAGCAGCTGGTGTTGCATGAGTTATACGAGCTGTTGTTAAAATGCCAACTTTTTTACCTAAATCAAAAAATTTTAAAAATTAATTAAATTTTTTATTAAATATTAAAATATTTTACCAGCTTTTTGGGCCCAATCGAGAATGCTTGTCACATTTGTACCAATTGAACTTGAACAATTAGATCGTTTTGCACGTCCATCAACTCCTATTGTACCTAATTGTGCTTTAACACCACATAAAAAAGCTGTTGCTGTCGCTGCTGAATCTGGTGTTTGATGATCAATATTATATCTAAACAATCTTTTTTTAAATATTTGAAAATAAAATTTTTTATTCTTGAACGTACGTTTTTGCCAAACCTAAATGAGTAAATTGTTCCATTTCAGTAAGAAAATCTTCGCCTAATTGTCCATTTGTTTGTCCCTTTCGAATTCTACCTGCAGTAACAGTTGATACACCCATACCATCACCCAAAAAAAGAATTACATTTTTAGCTATTCCAGTATTATCACGACGTTGTAATCCTTCTTCAATTGATAATCGAGCTTGTTCATACCAAAATGAAGAACTCTTCTCTATTGTCCAATCAATTCGACCACTATTGACGAGATTGCCAATCACCAAAAGAAGAACAACATTCGATAATAAAATTTCTAAAAGCAACAACAACAAAGAATCATCATACTATGCTTCAGATCATTAAATTGAACTTCATCCGTACAACAATCATTTAGACTACATTTCACTTATCTTCTCTGTAGAGTTCATATTTGAGAATATGTGTTGGTTGTGATATAGATCTAGCTGGAGTGATGAAGTAGTTCAATAAACATCACTATTGAGGATAACAATAGAGCTACTCTTCCACTTGGTTACACTCAGTAGATTCACATTCAAGTAGCTGAAATAGGATAAAGAAAGCTGCTTGTGCAATTCCTGTGGGAATAAGATGTGAAACAAGATGTAGCTGTTATTGCTAATCACACCAAAATTGTTTTTATTTAATCTATTTCAAGGCACATTTCCCCGTCTTCGATTTATTTAATTCTTCAGAAATGCAATAAGCAAGTAGTTCATATACTATAGCGAGGCATTAGTGATATACGATCTATGACGCAAAGGGAGGAGATATTGCCACGGCGTCTGTCACGGTCTAAGATGAAGGAGAGGCGTTTCTATGGATGGTTGTAACGTCTATAGAGATGAGAGGAAGTCCAAATTGCTACTTCTATACTTCAACACTCTTTTTAGATCGCGTTTCACAAAAGAAAAAATATAATTTTTCAATTTTTACAAGTAGTGCAATAGTAGAATTATTACAAATGTCAAAGCACTGATTAATAGACAACAACACATCATCTTCGTTATTATTCATAAAAAAAAAAACTTATATTCAAAAAATTGAACATAATTCATTATGCCTTCAATTTGTAATTATTCATGTTGATAAAACAAGAGAAATCTCGAAAATAAACTGATTTCCATCCATATTTAGGAAATTGGTTTACGAGACTGCATGTCAAGAATATTCTTTTTGGTTCTTCAGATTCCTTTTGAACAAGTATTTATTGGTTCATGTTCAAAATATCTAGTCGATATGTACTCGATTGTCTGCTTAAAATATTTTGCTTTATATAATAATTAAATTTCGTGCTTTAAAATCTGCTTATTTATTCTATTAAATACATGAAATTTGAAATGTATACTTCATTACTATTTGAAAATTGTATTACCTGATGGTTTTATTTTATTTGCCATTTGAGTATATTTAGTTATTAAAATAAGAAGACAATGTTGACCAAATTCCACAATCGCCAAATAACTACCCTTGATGAGCTATGAAACTTCAAATGTTGCACGGGAAATTATTTTCAGATATGATTTAGATTTAAGACAAATGCACCTTTTAGCAATCATTCATTTATCTTTTTTTGTATGTTTATATTATAATGGCAAATGCTAAGATCATGTAGTTATGCGATTGTATTATGTTTCTTACTGCCATTATCTATCATTCGATAAAATGTCTTTTACATTTTCACGTTAAATACTCTTCATTATTGGTAATTGTTTTTTTTTCATAAGATGTAAAAGTTCAAATAAAAATCAAATACATTGATGTGGATATTATCCTGATCGATTCACAGTTTTTAAGCATTTATCTATATGTTGTGCAAGAAAGGTTTACTAATGAAGACTTCTTTTTCTCGTAAGAAATAAAAAAAAAACACTTCGTGACATACAAAAGTTTCTACAGTTACTTTTCTAAACTTCTTCAATCATGATCGTTATATTACTGAAATAATTAGAATATGTACTATAATGCTCTACTGAATAGTACCAAAGACTTACTTTGATGATTTTGTGATTGAAATCAGTAATAAAAGTTGTATGATTTCGAACAAATTACTTTATAAATCCTACCGATCAAAACCAAATTCAGGAGAGATGATAAAAGAAAATACAAGACATTCATCAACTGAATAAATAAAAAAACGAATCTTTAAGCGTCCTTTTATATTTAATGGCAATAAATTGTGAAATAGATTTTTCTAGACTGAGATCAGATGAAATGTGTCTTGACTACTGGAAATTGAAATTGCCAAGACAGGGACCAAAAAAGAAGCTTGATCCCGGCAATTTATCATAAGAATACGTAAAATATATTTTCTGATTTCTTGCCTAAATTTAATTTTCTTACTTCATAACTATTGTGCTTATATATATATTGCTATAAACAGACGAATACATATAAAACGTAATCAAAACAATCTTTATGAAAGACATAATCAAATGATTATCTTGAAAAGATGCATAACAAAGAAAATTTGCATTCTTAAATTTAATTACTATAAAAGCGATGTATACAGGAGATGATATGATTCACGATCGAATGGCTTATCTTTAAATGTTCAGATCCAAAATTGATGATTCATTGTAATGTTTTTGTAATAAATATATCTACAAGAAGATTTAATATTCTAGTAAAGGAAAAGCAAAGACTTCTGATAAAAAAAAATTTGAGCGACTATTTCTCGAAATATTTTCGCTTGTTATAGAAAGACGACAACACTATTTACCTTTATAATTGGTCCATAGTATTATAAATATTATACCTAGGAATGATGCAATCGTATTTTTCTTATAGAATAGATGATGCAATTCTAGATAACATCATTATAATCTGTCTACGAATAATAGTTGCATTAACACGATTATTTTTTCAACAGAATTTGTTTTATTCTGAGGTCAATCGTATTATGAGATTCTGATTTTTTTATTAATTCCTGGAAAATTTCGTAGTTTTATTATTTGTGTCTAAGCATCTTTCTGTTCACTTTAGCATTACACTCCATAAAACTTTCAAGTAGCATATTATTTGTATTTGTCATGATGAAGACTATTATACAACGCTGTGAACCGTATAATATACTACTTAAAACAATTACGAAGGCAATATATCGATAAAANTTGAAATGATTTTTGTTGTTTTAGCCGACTATTTCATATTTAACATCAATGGATAAATATGCAATAATGTGCATATTTATCCTTATTATTCTTTGCATATGGCATGCAATGCTGGGTAGTCTCATATATTTATCAATACCTGATTTACGTGTTACACAAGATATGTGGCTTGCATATATAGATCAATGGGTTTTTATGAGTGCAATTAGTATTTTCATTATTATTCATATTGTACTCTTAACATGGCTTTATTTAGTTCCACTCAAACATCGTCGACAAATGGCAAAAAAGGATTTCGAATATCGACAATCAATATCCAAAGAAAAGAAAACCTTGAATTATACACTTTTATCTATATGAAAGAATTTTCTATTGATATTTTTGTTTGTTGTTTTATTAATCATTATGGCTAAAGAAGAAGAGAGAATATGTATTGCATAGAACAAATAAGAAAAAGAGAAAGAGGGTTAAAAAAAGAAAATCATAAATATATTATGTCCAAATACGAAGACTTGTAATGAATATGTCATTATGCTTCTTCTTCCTTGTGTTCTTTGGCTGATTTAAGTTGAACTTGATCACGATAATTTATTTTGTCTTCTTCTTTTTGTTCTTCTTTAAGTGCAAATTTATTTGTCGATTGTTTTAAGTTGGCCATATTAATAAAATTAGGTTCGTCTTCTTTTGGTTTTTTTATCTTGTTCAACCTTTTTTTGTATTTTATGAAAATAAAAAGTTTGATTTGGAAAATTTTTTAAAACTTACTTTTGTTCAGTTTTTGAGACTTTTTTAAGTGATGGTTTAACAAATTTACCTTTAATATCATTGATTTTAATTGTTAATTCATTGATCTAGAAGGCAAAAATTGTAATTTTAGGATAATTTTAATTAATAAATTTTTCTTTTCTTACATCATAATCTTGTTTACGAATTTTAACTTCAAGATCATAATGACTTTCTTCATTTGTTTTCAACTGATTGTGAAGATCTTGACAAAGTGATTTAAGTTGAGCTAAAAGAAAAGTTTTTTATTTTTAATTTGAAAAACCACACTTGTAAATAATTACCATCACTCATTGAGCTAACATTATCAAGTGGTTTCAAACATTGTTCAATATAATTTTTACGTGCTTCTAAACGACGTTGTTGTTCACCTTTAAGATTTTCTGTGGCCATTTTCATAATTAAAAGCTAAATATAACAGAAAAAGAAGCAACAAACACAATTCAAATATTAAATTATTGAAGATAATTTAATACAAACCCGAAGTTTACGCTTCTTTTCAGGTGTTAAACCGAAGCGTTTCTTCTTTTCAGCTGCATCACGAGCTTCTTGACGTTTACGTTCTCGATCAGCCTTCTTACGGGCTTTTCTTTCATCTTCGGTGAGTTGTCGTTCCTATTAAAACATATTGATTTTATATCTTTAAAATATTCTTTTTTTATGACAGGCATCAAATTTCAACATACCGTGCTATATAACATGAAAATCTTTAGTATACTGGAGAATATAAATAGTTTGATATGAGATAATATATTTGAATAACATGCAAGAAGTTCTTGTGATATTTATTAAAACCAATTTTAGCATTGTGCAGCAAACAATAAATGAGTTTTTTTTTAAATTTTCATGAGTATTAATACAATAAAATTTTGATGTAGAAATACATACATGATATCAAGGACAAATTTATTGTCTTGTACAAAAGGAAACTTTTTCTTTTTGTCAAGTTATTATCATGCAACTCGAGCTAATAGTCCACAGTCTTAGATACGTGCAAAAGAAGATAACATGCGAATTGATTACCAAATAACGATTCCATGCATAATATTCAATCGAGTTCAATAAGTTATATTTTTATATAGATGAATCAATTTGATTTCTATTGGTTTATTACCTCGTCAGCCATCGTGTCTGTTTAACTATCAGTTGGTTTGTCGATTTGGTTTCTGTCCTTCGCTGATCTTGTAAAGAAGCAAAAGCAAGACAAACGTTGGATGATGATGATGTTAGTACTAAACACTTATTCTTTTTCTTTTCTTGGTTATATTAATCCATGTATAGGCCACAAACAGAACAACGAAGAGGCGAAAAGATAGAGGAAAAAATAGGAAAAAAAACCGATGCTGCTGTCTTGTTCCTAAAATATCTGTTTATACGATTCTATAGAAAAGTTATGCAAAAAAAGAAAGAGAAATAGGAGTCCCGTTACAAGTTTTGTATGGATGCGTATGTATGTTTGTATGCTTATATGGGATATTGACGGCAAACCAGAAAGCTTGTTATTGTTCCCTTCCGTCCCGAACATTTATGCACATCGGTACACATATGTGGATACATATGGATATGGAAATGGTTGAAAAAAGAAAGAGGAATAGACCAATATTTTTATCTATTCTCATTTTTTTTCTACGATGATGGATTACAGGAAGGATTTTTCTACCAAAATATTAATCTAAACTACAGATAAAAATATCAAAAACAAAAAGAAGCACACACATACACACTCAGCAATCTTTTTTCGCTTGAATTTTTCATATTTTTATTTCATACCAACTCATCGAAGTATCATGTGGAAGGTTTTTATTTTGTAATTATCAAAACAAACTTGATAAATGAGTCAATAAATATCCGATATATCTTATTTGACTTGTGATAGAATATTCATCATACACAACAATTGTTCCGTATTGCTTGCTTTTGTCACCAAGTTTGAAATAAGAACAAAAAAGATTGAGACTCTCACAAATGATTTTTATTTTGTTCTACTATAGATAACACTGATGAAAAATAAAAGACTACTTTGTGGGCTTGTTCATTGGCAATTTTTTATTCTTTTTCATAATGATGTTCGTTTTTGGTTGATTTAAGTTGAATTCGTTCTCAATATTTAACTTTCTCTGCACTTTTATATTCATCTTATAATGCAACTTGATTTGTTGATTGTTTAAGATGAGGACTAACATTAATTTCTTTTTCATTTTTGTATTCTAAACTAATTTTAATAGCAACAATTTTTTTACTGTTATGTAGTTTTTGATATTTTTCTTTATGTTTTTTTACTAAATTTACCTTTAATATCATTAACTTTAATAGTTATTTCATTAATCTACATGAACCAAACAAAAAAACAAACATTCTGTTTTTTCTTTTGTTTCGATATTTTAAATTAATTTAACTTACTTCATAAACTATTTTATGAATTTGCATTTCAAAATTACATCGTAATTCTTCAGTATCAATTGATTGTGTATGAAATTGTTTAACTAATGAAACAAGATACAGTACTGGACAAAAATATAAGAACACTTTATTTTTGATTTTTTTCTACGATGCTAAATAGCTAGCTCAAATCCAAATAGTGATTCTGAAAGCCAATGAAGTTTCCTATTTAATGCACGTTCCTAAAATTAATAATAAAATATATCAAACACAGTCGAAAACTAAATTTAGTAATGTCATCGATAGAGGTATATCACCACGGTTGACTAGCTACGTTGTTCTGTACGTGTTGGCAAGATATTGTGTTCAAACTACAATACTAACAGCCACGGAGTGACCCTGGACAAGCCACTAACGGCTATTCATCTCGGATCATATATCCGATAGCATTGTTTACCCTGTTGTGACATACATCTGCTTCTGTGGCTAGTTAATATGTATGAAGAGTCGAGTTTCTGACAAGAACGACAGCTAGTATTAGTTGCAGGGAAGACATAGTGCTAACGAATCTGTTGCTAGACAGTATTTCATACCGTAAGGTAAATGAAAAGCACGCGTATTTTCTCTTTCTTCTAACAGAGCTTTTTTGCATTAGGTAAAGTGGTCAGTCTATTTGAATTCGGGATAAACTTATTTTCATAGAATATGTCTCTTGAAAATTTATGAAAGATATTATTAGTTTTCTATGAATAATCAAGATTTTGTTGATTTCAAGTTGTTTTATTAGTGCAAACTCAGACTTGAAAAAGTAGAAATAATTCTGAGCGTTTCATTGAATCATATGAAAACCGCTAACATGCTTTTTCTTTTATGAGAGAGAGAATTTTTAACTGTTGAATGCTGGTTAATGACACATTTCTTTTTTTGGTGTGAATAAATATTTGATGTAACAAGTGAAAGTCTAAAAAGTGTTGTATTTGTAATCTACCTCATCGGACATTTTATATTTTTTTCTTAAATAGTATTATAGTAATACATTGAGATTTATAGAAATTTTCACGAAAAACCAATTTTGATGTCAGTAATAATCAAAGGAATTATCATGTACGTAAATAAAGTTAGCAGCAGATTAGAAATTTTTGGGAAAATATGCTCTTGCCGACTTGTGCCAGAAAAGATATTGCTTGTGCCAAATAGAGCACCGAATATTCTATAGAATGAATGCTCTTCCAGAAATTTCTATCGAGCAAAGCTTCTAAAAAATTCAAGAGACTGCTTTTTAAACACTGTTTTTTCATGAAAAATATAGCATTCCCACCAATTATTTACTCGAAGAGTTGTGTCAGTTGCCGAAACAATTGTATCAGATAGAACTCAATGAGATCTATAGATTGGTGTCAAATTAGACCATGTTCATTCTCAAAATGGATATCTAGTTGATCAAAGAGTGTGAGGACAGGTGTTTGATCTATATTATGGTCCAATATTTGTTCTCAGAGCTGCATCAGTTGAGTAAACGTTCATAGTCAATAGAACTCGATGAAACCTACCGATTGGTATCGAACAGTGAGTTTGTTCATTCACAGGAGAGGTCTATACCTGGTCAGTAACTAGTCAGACAATGAATTTGGGCTAACACTGTTCCAAATATTCATTTTAGAGTTTCCATAAAATGAAAACACGTTTGTAATAGAAAAAACTAAGAAGACCTATCCTTCATTATCAGGCTTAATCCTGCTAAGTGATATTATCCGTCTTTATTGGAATGATGAAGGAAGCTTTGCAATTTCTTACCGATTTTAGCCGTGTTTCTTGTTCGGGTGTGCAGAATAATTTTCGGTACGTCTTTTAACCGTTATCAGGCAGCAGAATTGGATTGCCTATCGAATTATGCTTTATTTCTTAGGAGTCATCAAACGTACTTCTATTTTTTTTCTGAAGAATATTTGCTTCCTTGAGTACTTGTAAGTTTTGCTAAAGACGCAGATATTGACAAATCTTTAGTGCTGAAGGTCTCGACAAGATAATTTATAATCTAGGCTAATGCCTGTTTTAGAATACTCTAACACAATATGCATTCATTTTCTTTGTTTTTGCATACGTATGTATCAGAGGTCCAACCAGGCCGCATTTTTGCAGGCCTGGCCGGCCTATGACAGGCCTCTGAGTTCCAAGCCTGCCTGTGCCTGCCAACTTATTTGTTTGGCCTGGCCTGCCTGCCTGGCATTTTCTTCGGCCTGCCTGGCCTGCCTGGAAAGGCCTGTCTATTTTTCTTGTTATGCCAATACCATTACCAGGGGTGTCGCAAGCAACCAAAACTTGGGAACGGGGGTAGTAACTTATAAAATCCTATTTCCAAAAATGTTGGGTGAGTAGCTAGTGTTGCCAGGTCTTCCGGATTTGAAAGTTTTTTCGAGATTTTTGTGGGATTCTTTCTGGATTTTCAGAATTTTTTCTAAATTTTTTGGATTTTTTGACGATTGTGCGC